GCTCCTCGGGGTTTTCCTCTAAGTTTTTCCTCTATAGACACTTTTAAGATTTAAAAACTTATGTGTGCGACCTAATTCTCCATCCTCTCTATTATTAATAAGACTTCAGTTTGGGATGAAGAGTTTAAACCCAAAGGTTCTCACAATTTAATATTTTGAAAAATGTTTTGAAAAGAACTTTCTTGAATTATCTAAAATAATACACTTCCAGAAAATACTTTTTGGAACACTAATTTTATTATTATAGAAAATAGTTTTTGGAATAGTAAATTTTGTATTCCAAAAAGTAATTTCTAGAATGGAAAATGCACTTTCCAGAAACTAAATTTAGTAATATAAAAATTACTTTAAAAAACACAATTCTGAAAAATATTTTTCAGAAACTAATTTTACTATTCTAGAAAATACTTTTCAGAATAATAAAATTAATGTTTGAGAAGGTACTTTCTGGAACATTAAATTTTATGTTGAGATTTTTAGAAGTATGAAACGAGATGATGTGTTCGAAGAAGGAAATGAGTGTATGGTTTGCCTCTTTTGACACTATCTAGGAAGTCGCATATGCCAATAATTCTAATGAATGGTAATTCTACGATCCGAGTGTGTGAAAACTAAACGAGGAGATGGAGATAAAAGTAATGTGAAAATTGAAAGAATTAAAACTATCTATTAAAATAGATGAAGAGTGGGGAAAATGTAAGAGGGTGCATGTAAAAATTAAAAGGGAAAAAAAGGAGGTGTATGAAAAAAAAAAGGAGAAATTGCTAAATAAAATGTTGGAGGTGTAAAATTAAAAAACTAGTGAATAAAAAATTAAAAATAATTTTTTTTATAAAAAAGAAAAAAGAGACACAAATGAGGTGTATATATGGTGAGCCAAGTATAAAACTTGATCTAGGCCACAAAAAATAACTAAATAACCCAATTTAAGGTCGTACTAACCCACCCAACCCAACCAAAACCTACCCAATCCAAAACTCCAAACTTGACATCCTATTTGGGTCGAAATAAGCCTATAACATGTACATTAGGGGTTCTTGCAGTTTTGGACATTTTCAACCCAAACTAGTCCACTAAACATCGTTAGTAGAAACATATTTCTTTAACAGAAAAGAGAGAATTTTATCTATTTTCAGTAAGAGTTGTTTCTCCTCTTGTAGAGTTTATTAAGACATTCAAGTGAGATGTTAATTAAGTAGTACAGTAGTGCCATTGCGAATGTTTGCTCACATAGTTTGACCATATTGTTACATCTGTAGGGTGGGGTCATTTCCTTTTCAAAATCTTTGTTAGAAAGAAAAAAATTGTTAAATGCTAAAATTCAAGGGGTTATTTGCATTAACTCGATAATAATATGACGCCAAAATGTGTTTCCTTGGTAGATGTTAACTAGTTGGTTAAGGGAAAAGAAAAGGTAAAATAAAACTAACCTCATATTCATTTTTAATTGAAAAGGTTTTTTCACATCTTAGATACTACTTTTTAGTTTTCACTTTTTACTATCAAATACTAACCAACATTCAATTAGCGGTGGTCTTGAACATCGTTAAGGTGGACGAGCATCCAGGATCCTATTGTAAAGGGTACCAATTATTTTTTAATTTATATAAATATAAAAATAAAATTTACAAAATAAAATTATATAAAAAAATTAAGCAACAATAATTAATCAATTGATATGTGATGTTTCTATTTCTCAATCAAAATTTACTTGTAATTTTAGGAAAATAAATCAATGATGTCAAATATAAAGAGGAAAGTGTATGATATATAATATAATATATAATTGACTTATTTCATTTAATTTCTCTTATCTTATATTTCTTTTATTGTTGATAAATAAGGATTGTCTTGAAATTTTTCACTTTCCCTTTATATATAATCTATTTATTCTCCCTATATTATCTTAATCACGATCTCTTATGCTATGTTAGAATCTTAAAATCAAATTAAAAATTTATTTTTGTTAGCCACACCAAATTTCTTGGTGATGTGCCAATATTGTTAATTTTTTTCTTCTATTACAATAAATTGAGAGTTCAATGTGAATGTTTAAAAATAAGCACTCAAATAGTATTATTTAATCTCATTGTCATTTACTCATTAAAAATCCATAATTGGAATCATAGATTAAAATTTAGTTTTTTGTATATACTTGTCTAATTATTTGGATTTGAACATGTTACACAAAAATAATCTTCTAATCATCTAAAAGGAAAAAAGAAATAAACAAATTAAAATTAATATTGATTCGCAAAAGAGTACTAAAATTTTTGAGAATGAAAAACTATTTAAGAATAATAAAGAACATGATATTTTAGCTAAAAATAATAAAAATAAATATGATCATCATAATAAAATTAAATATATTAATGTTAACAATTAATATATTCACGCTAGACAATCTAATCTATATAAAATAACTTTAAAAGTGATTTATAAGATGAATTACTAAAAAAAATATACTAAATGAGATATTTATATTGTGAATAATTCTAAGAATACTTTTGATATTCTAAAATTTTTGCAATAAAAAATATAAAAAGAATACTTAAATAATTGAGAACATCATGTTTTGGTTCGCCTAAAGCCGTAAAAAACTCAAGGTGAGCCCTAGATGTAGTTAAAGACATATAAATTTACTTTAAATTGTTTTGATATGGACGATTCATGTTTTGAATTGGCCAATTCATGCTGCTAGTTGTAATTAGTTACAAGGGATGATAGAACACGAGGATGAATAATTGCAGTACCAAATTACCTATTAATAAATTGTTTTTGCCTTGTTTTAGATGAGCTGAATAATGAAAATGAGTATTTTCATTGGTGCAAATTGGATAAAAGTACTAACTAAATGTTTTTTTTTTGTATATTGATGAATAAAAACAAACAAAGAAAATTCTATGAAATCTAAACTAACTTCATGCAAAATAAAATTTGGAGGACTCTTCCATTTAACAAATACTATACTAAATTTGGCTCTCCATCCAGCTAACCTATGAACCACAACATTGCTCTCTCTAGGAATACTTTCACAATATACATGTCAATTACGAGCCAAGAACTCTTTAATATTGACAATAATAATTGCATGTTTATGCCATGAACAATCATATTGTAGTTACTCACAAATGGTAGAGATAACAGTTATACAATCTGACTCACAAAGAAGAAAATTAAACCCTGACCAGATTAATGGTCAATTATTCTCTTTTTTTTATTTATTTATTTTCTTTTTGCGAGGAACTATATGACTTCTATTGGTTATTACTACTTGAAATCTACTCATTTTAGTTTGAGTAAGTTCTTGAAAAGTTAAACATAAAATTGACTGGTGATGAAAAAATGCTGTGAATTGTTTCATGCATTAGCTTGAGCCTCTGAATGAAATGGTTTCCTAAAATGTTTTAAAGCTGATTAAAAATGAAATTACCTCAGTGCCTCCCTGTCTTGTAATTAAAGTTTCCATGTAACAAGTTGTTAATCTAAGTATTAGTAAACTAGTAATTTTGTTATTTTTCAATGCTTCAATTTCATCAGCTTTACACATTGAGGGAAGTTATAAACATCATCCTTACTCTTATATGTAATAGTTTGAATTCTTATTCTTAGTATCTGTTTAACACAATTGCTGAAAATAACATTTTATTCACTTCAGGGCTCATTACATCAAATCGCACGATCTGGGTAGTAAGTCATATACCACCTGTTATGATTTCAATTCATATCAAACAACTATTTTCCGTCTATAAACATAATTGTATCCAAAAATCATTCATTCTTAAAATTTATTTTAGTTCAATTTTTTATAAAAATAATTTGGTTTTTTCTAGTTTAATCTAATTTAGTTATTTATTAGTTTAGTTTTAATTAATTATTTATAACATTTCCTAATTATAACTTTTTTTTTATTTATAACTAAAGTGCACTAAACTTAAAATATAGTTTAGATTAGCTTTTATCAAAATTAGTTTAGTTTTTTTATAGTCTAATTTAGTTTAGTTTTTACAATAGTTTAGTTTAATGTAGTTTTTTGAACACCCCTAAACATAAGTGAACCATTTTGAATGAGAAGGCTAGTTGGTTATTCCACATAAGGATCCAAAAAATAAGTGCACGCTGATATGGGACCAAACTTGTTTCTTGGTTTTTGTATCCTTGTCATGTTTAAATCCTTTGTGGGTTATGATCAGATGAAGATAATTTTCACTACCCGTGAGAGTTCGAGGTAACTTTGTAGCTTGCATGTGGGAAACAAATATTTGTATTCGAGTTGTTCCCTACTTACTACATTTATGGGTTTGTGTTGTGTGTCGTAATTGGTGTGTGGACTACTTAAAGAGGATGGTCTGATGTCTCTTTGGTTGGATGCTATTTAATATGGATGGTGTTACTGTTGTCTTTTTGCTTGTGTATTTACATCGCATGCACGCATATTTATGATATGTGAAAGTGATGTCTTTTTAAATATTTGTCTTGCCAAGCAAATAAAGTTTTCATTACAAATTATGGTGAAAATGCATTCAAAAGTGAAAATTAAGGGGAAATTGTGTATTTTACATCCTTGTTACGAAGAACAATAAAATATTACTACTGCTATTGTAATTGTTATTCTCATTTGGATGATTCATTTGTTGATGAGAAGTTATGTCTGGGTGATAATATTAAAAATTAAATATTTTTATAAATACTAGAGGAGTTGAATCACTTTGTGCCACTAATAATGATAGGTAGATAGAATATTAGAAGATTGTATGTAGTTATTTAGAGAGAATATAATTTTTTTTATATCTAAAGAATATAATGGTCCACTAAAAAGTGGAGACCAAAAATAGTTACATAATCTTAGTATCCTTTTTATAATATAGGTATAGATAAAATTTAAAATCGATTTAAGAATTAAATATAATACTAATATATTTAATAAATATTAATAATTTTAGATATTTTGATTAAATAAATTATGAACATGTACATTAAAAAATAATATCCTCATTAACTCTGTAAAGCAATAACATTTTTTGTATATTTTATTGAACTGTTGCAAATGACTGTATTCTTAGATGGCCGATAAATTTTTTGCTTTGTATTCTGCACTAGTTATTTAGGATTGTTCTATGGTCTCATAATTGTCAAATTTATTTGGCTGTCAAATTGGCAGACCAGATTAATGGCCAATTATTCTCTTTTTTTAATTTATTTTTTATTTTATTTTTGGGAGGAACTATATGACTTCTATTGGTTATTACTACTTGAAATCTACTCATTTTAGTTTGAGTAAGTTCTTGAAAAGTTAAACATAACATTGACTGGTGATGAAAAAATGCTGTGAATTGTTTCATGCATTAGCTTGAGCTTCTGAATGAAATGGTTTCCTAAAATGTTTTAAAGCTGATTAAAAATGAAGTTACCTCAGTGCCTCCCGTCTTGTAATTAAAGTTTCCATGTAACAAGTTGTTAATCTAAGTATTAGTAAACTAGTAATTTTGTTATTTTTCAATGCTTCAATTTCATCAGCTTTACACATTGAGGGAAGTTATAAACATCATCCTTACTCTTATATGTAATAGTTTGAATTCTTATTCTTAGTATCTGTTCAACACAATTGCTGAAAATAACATTTTATTCACTTCAGGGCTCATTACATCAAACCGCACGATCTGGGTAGTAAGTCATATACCCCCTGTTATGATTTCAATTCATATCAAACAACTATTTTCCGTCTATAACTCATAATTGTGTCCAAAAATCATTCATTCTTAAAATTTATTTTAGTTCAATTTTTTATAAGAATAATTTGGTTTTTTCTAGTTTAATCCAATTTAGTTATTTATTAGTTTAGTTTTAATTAATTATTTATAACATTTCCTAATTATAAATTTTTTTATAACTAAAGTGTACTAAACTACTTTTTATAATAGTTTCGTTTTTGAAACTAAACTTAAAATATAGTTTAATTTAACTTTTATCAAAATTAGTTTAGTTTTTTATAGTCTAATTTAGTTTAGTTTTTACAATAGTTTAGTTTAATGTAGTTTTTTGAACACCCCTAAACATAAGTGAACCATTTTGAATGAGAAGGCTAGTTGGTTATTCCACATAAGGATCCAAAAAATAAGTGCACGCTGATATGGGACCAAACTTGTTTCTTGGTTTTCGTATCCTTGTCATGTTTAAATCCTTTGTGGGTTATGATCAGATGAAGATAATTTTCACTACCCGTGAGAGTTCGAGGTAACTTTGTAGCTTGCATGTGGGAAACAAATATTTGTATTCGAGTTGTTCCCGACTTACTATATTTATGGGTTTGTGTTGTGTGTCGTAATTGGTGTGTGGACTACTTAAAGAGCATCGGTGTGATGTCTCTTTGGTTGGATGCTATTTAATATGAATGGTGTTACTGTTGTCTTTTTGCTTGTGTATTTATGATATGTGAAAGTGATGTCTTTTAAATATTTGTCTTGCCAAGCAAATAAGAAATTTATAACAAGTTTTCATTACAAATTATGGTGAAAATGCATTCAAAAGTGAAAATTAAGGGGAAATTGTGTATTTTACATCCTTGTTACGAAGAACAATAAAATATTACTACTGCTATTGTAATTATTATTCTCATTTGGATGATTCATTTGTTGATGAGAAGTTATGTCTGGGTGATAATATTAAAAATTAAATATTTTTATAAATATAAGAAGGGTTGAATCACTTTGTGCCACTAATAATGATAGGTAGATAGAATATTAGAAGATTGTATGTAGTTATTTAGAGAGAATATAGTTTTTTTTATATCTAAAGAATATAATGGTCCACTAAAAAGTGGAGACCAAAAATAGTTACATAATCTTAGTATCTTTTTTATAATAGATATAAATAAAATTTAAAATTGATTTAAGAATTAAATATAATACTAATATATTTAATAAATATTAATAATTTTAGATATTTTGATTAAATAAATTATGAACACGTACATTAAAAAATAATACATATATGCATCACGCATAAGTACTTAAAAAAATGTCAAAAAATAAGAAAAAGTGTAATTAGAAATTAAGGTAATAAAATTTAGAAAAATAAAAAACTCTATGCGCGACAAAATTTTAAGTGTTTCAGGGTTTCAAGGCATATAATTCTTTCTATTCCTGAATGCATCGCATTCTTTTCCTCATTAACTCTGTAAAGCAATAACATTTTTTGTATATTTTATTGAACTATTGCAAATGACTGTATTCTTAGATGGCCGATAACTTTTCTGCTTTGTATTCTGCACTAGTTATTTAGGATTGTTCTATGGTCTCATAATTGTCAAATTTATTTGGCTGTCAAATTGGCAGACCAGATTAATGGTCAATTATTCTCTTTTTTTTATTTATTTATTTTCTTTTTGCTTTAATATTGACGGAATAAAGTTGCCATGGATTGGGCTTATAGGTTTTTTTCCACGTTTGGGCTCCTAAACCCATTATCAGAGACCAAGCCCAACCCAGCTAACTCAACAGTGGGCTAAACATTCATTCTTCCCTCCGAAATTTAACAACACAGCGCCACTCCCTCGCTGTGGCAGACATTCGAGACTCCCTCACCGGCCACGACACCTCCTTCCCTGTTAGGTATTCTCGCTCTGTTAGGTATTTTACTTTCATTCTTCGCCGGCCACGACACCTCCTAATTATGCGTTTCGCTTATGAAATCGGGAAATCTGGGACTAGTTATTTGGAAATTCTATGTCATTGTATTTGTTGGAGTGGTTTAGGTATTTTACTTTCCTTCTTCGCCGGCCACGACACCTTGATTGTCATTGTATTTGTTGGAGTGGTTGGTTGCATTTTGTTGTATTTTTTAATTAAAGGACGAGAAGAAAATGATGTTTTATTTGCTCAAATTACTAAATATAAAGGAAAATCAAATATATTATATGAGATTAAATGGAAAACCTTGATCTGGGCCTATGAAGGGGCCCAAAACCCAAGGGTGAAAATTTTCAATCAAATCAGTTTCTACTCTTATTAGTTTGCTTTTTCTATCATTCTATACTGGGACAATAATGAGGTAGATGAACCTTGTCGAATTACAAAATGATCATGGCTTCTAAATTTGGGAGAGTTTCTTTTTGTGTTGCTTTTGTTTTTTAATTTTAAGAGTTGGAACGTGAAAGGGTAATGATGTGCTTGTGTTATATTTTTGTATCAATTGATCCTTCAAGAAGAAAACGAAAGTTGATTCTTTGTGCTTTATGAGTGAGTTGGATATTGAATTTGAAGTTTGTAATGAGTGAACACAAAAAGTAAATTAGTTCTATGTATAAATGTTCATATCGTTTATGTGATGCAGTTTGGTTGTTTCTACATGGGTATTGTTAGTTATCCATGTGAGCTAAGAGATAAACATTGTGCAATTTGCTCATGGAAATTCCCCCTTCACATTTTGTTTCCACCCAAATAAGTTTACAGAAACTTGTTCTGTTTTGTGAGTCTCAACAAGAACAAACTTTGAATGTCAAGTAACATATTATAGAGGGGGTAGCATTTCTGTTTTAGACTTGTTAATTCTTGAATGAACTAAGTGTGTTCATTTCTGTGATAAATCTTTTGATGCATTTTGTAATGTTGAACTAGGTTCCTCTGCGATTTTCCATTTAATCTCATATAATATATTTGATTTTCCTTTATATTTAGTAATTTGAGCAAATAAAACATCATTTTCTTCTCGTCCTTTAATTAAAAAATACAACAAAATGCAACCAACCACTCCAACAAATACAATGACAATCAAGGTGTCGTGGCCGGCGAAGAAGGAAAGTAAAATACCTAAACCACTCCAACAAATACAATGACATAGAATTTCCAAATAACTAGTCCCAGATTTCCCGATTTCATAATCGAAACGCATAATTAGGAGGTGTCGTGTAAAAAGTGGAGACCAAAAATAGTTACATAATCTTAGTATCTTTTTTATAATAGATATAAATAAAATTTAAAATTGATTTAAGAATTAAATATAATACTAATATATTTAATAAATATTAATAATTTTAGATATTTTGATTAAATAAATTATGAACACGTACATTAAAAAATAATACATATATGCATCACGCATAAGTACTTAAAAAAATGTCAAAAAATAAGAAAAAGTGTAATTAGAAATTAAGGTAATAAAATTTAGAAAAATAAAAAACTCTATGCGCGACAAAATTTTAAGTTTCCTTTTCACTTGTTGATATAAAGTTCCCTTTGTTGATACATTAATTTAAAAAAAAATAATAAAAAATATAATATTTTTATAAATACTATAGAGATTTTATTATGATTTGAGTTATAATTTTTATAATTTTTTAATTTAATATTGACGGAATAAAGTTGCCATGGATTGGGCTTATAGGTTTTTTTCCACGTTTGGGCTCCTAAACCCATTATCAGAGACCAAGCCCAACCCAGCTAACTCAACAGTGGGCTAAACATTCATTCTTCCCTCCGAAATTTAACAACACAGCGCCACTCCCTCGCTGTGGCAGACATTCGAGACTCCCTCACCGGCCACGACACCTCCTTCCCTGTTAGGTATTCTCGCTCTGTTAGGTATTTTAC